CTGGGACTACAGGCACATGCCACCATATCTGGCTAATTTTTGGATGTTTTTGTAGAGACAAGGTCTCACCATGTTGCCCGGGCTGGTCTTGAACTCCTGGGCTCAAGCAATTCTCCTGCCTTGGCCTCCCCAAGTGGTGGGATTACAGGGATGAGCCACCGTGCCCAGCCAGGAGTGCTGTTTTTATTTTGAAACAAAACAGCATAAAAAATGAAAACTTTTTCTAAACGTGACATACTACCTCTAGTTGACTTGTTTGTTTTATGTTCCATCTGCTTTTTCTCAAATTTAGAGGCTGATGCTGATGTGTGTGTCCACACTTAGCACTGTTTGAGTCTTTTTGTCCTTCTGATTTTGTTGCTGGAGTAATGGTTGGTTTGCTGAGCTTTTGTTTAGCCATTAAGCACTGTAGCTTTGAAGCAAACTGTTAGAAGAAAGTTTTTACTCCCGCACTCCCTTAAATTTAGTTTGTATTTGTAAAGTTTGTAAGGGCACACTTCTCTGTGATTATGCGGAAAGGGAGATTGTCTTTAGATAACGAACTATAGTTATTCTTTCTTTGGACCAGATGATTCTTTTTTTTTTTTTGAGTTGGAGTATCACTCCATCGCCCAGACTGGAGTGCAGTGGCTGCTCTCAGCCACCGCAGCCTCAACCTGCTGGGCTCCGGTGATCCTTCCGCCTCAGTCTTCCAAGTAGCTGGAACTACAGGTGTGCACTACCATGCCCGGCTAATTTTTGATTTATTGTAGAGATGAGGTCTCACCAAGTTGCCCGGGTGGGTCTTGAACCCGCAGGCTCAGGCAATCCACTCACCTTGGCCTCCCAAAGCGCTGGATTACAGGCTGAGCTACCGAGCCCGGACCAGATAATTCTTTGCTGTGGAGGTTCTCCTGTATATTGTAGGATTTGACAGCATCCTTGACCTCTGCTCAGTTGATGCAAGTAGCTCATCCTTTTCCCCCCACAGTTGTGACAACCAAAAATGTCTCTAGACACTGCCAAGTGTACCCTAGGACAAAATCACTCCTGGTCAAAAACCACTGTTCTAAATTCTCAAGGCAGACTTATTGACTACAGTTGTTTGTCAGATAACCACAAATGAACTAATGCTCGATATTGTGTTTTTTGTGAATCCTTAAAAACTTTATTTTATTCTGATTTCTGTTCTCATTCCCCGAAGTTGTGCCAAGTGAGCAGGGGTGGCAAGTGTTGTGTTCCAGGAGTCCTTAATCCTTTTTGCTTCTTGATATCCAAGTTTGGGGCTTTAATACACTTACTAAAAAAATTGGGTGTGATATCTAGGCCAAAACACATTTACTGTTAGACCTCCAGCTCTGTGACCTCACTTAAGCCTTTTTTTTGAGTCAGAGTCTCACTCTACCACCCAGGCTGGAGTGCGGTGGCACCGTCCCAATCCCTGCAGCCTTGAGCTGCTGGGCTCAGGCAATCCTTCGTCCTCTGCCTTCCAAGTAGCTGGAACCACAGGTGCGCCACCACACCCAGCTCAATTTTTGATTTATTGTAGAGACATGACCTCGCCAAGCTGCCCAGGCTGATCTCGAGCTCCTGACCTCAAGCAATCCTCTTGCCTCAGCCTTCCAAAGTGCTGGGATTGCAGATGTGAGACACCATGCTCAGCTCACTTAAGTCTTGTAACACACAAGTAGATTCTCTTGATTTGGTTCAGGTTGTAAATTACACTTGCTTCTGAATATGCTCTAGGTATCAAATCACCATTTTGGTTTTTCTTGCTTCTTATTTTTAGATTCTGAGTTAGGTTGTTTATAGAACTGTGAGGTTTGGCTGATAGGTTCAGTTTTTGTAGATGCTGTGTTGATTTAGCTTTTGTAGGTGCTGTGTTGATTTAGCAGAGAGGTTGCTTAAGTTCACACATCAAGTAAGTGGAGGGACTGGATTTGAATTCAAGCCTTTCTGATCAACTCCAAAGCCACATTTTCTCCCTCTGTACTAGGGCTTCTTAAAATTGAATGTGCATAGGAATCACCTGAGGATCTTGGTGAAACACAGATTCTGACTCAGTGGACTTAGGGGTGGGCCTGCAGTTCTGCACTTCTGCCAGTCCCTGGAGATGTGTCCAGTTGTTGGTCTTTGGGTCACTCTTGGAGTACTAAGGCTCTGTGCTATGTATCTGGTTGACTAATTTTGCTATAAATAATCTTCCTAGAAATTGACCCATAAAATTGATAATCTACAAGTGATTATTCATGAACTGAAAATTTCAGTTGCCCTTTTTCCTCTTCATTTTAAGCTCTGTGTACTGACCACTTTAAGGTGTGTATATTCACTGCTAGATTGAAGAGCTTTGCTTGGTTGAACTGACAGAATTATAGTTCTGTATTAAATAAATGCTAAGTGTGTTGGGAAAGTAAAATGAATGATCTAAGGGGAGTTTAAGTGAACAGCTACCATAGTCCATCATTTTTTTTTGTTGTTGTTGTTTTTTGAGTTGGAAGTCTCACTCTGTCGCCCAGACTGGAGTGCAGTGGCTGCTCCCGGCCACCGCAGCCTCGACCTGCTGGGCTCCGTTGATCCTTCTGCCTCAGCCTTCCAACTAGCTGGAACTACAGGCGTGTACTACCACGCCTGGCTAAATTTTTGATTTATTGTAGAGATAAGGTCTCACCAAGTTGCCCAGGCGGGTCTCAAACCTGTGGGCTCAGGCAATCCACTCACCTCAGCTTCCCAAGGCACTGGATTACAGGCTGAGCCACTAAGCCCGGCTCGTCCATCATTTTTAAGGTGAGCCTTATTTTACTTTTTTTTGAGTTGGAATCTCATTCTGTTGCCTAGGCTGGAGTGCAGTGGCACCCCAGCGTCGATCTGCTGGGCTCTGGCGATCCTCCTCAGCCTTCCAAGTAGCTGGAACTACAGGTATGTGCCATCACGCCCGGCTCATTTTTAGATTTATTGTAGAGGTGAAGTCTCACCAAGTTGCCCGGGCGGGTCTCGAACCTGCGGGCTCAGGCAATCCACCGCCTCAGTCTCCCAGAGTGCTGGGATGACAGCTGAGCCACCAAACCCAGCCCTGATTTTACATTTTAACCCCTCCAAAATTGGAGTGCATCTTACAGTAGATGGCACTTTGCCATTGCCAACCTTTCCTTTTGGTCGTGGCCATTCTTACTCTGGGGATCAGAGCCTGGCTGCTGCTAAGGTGAGTACCTGGCATCCACTCTCTTTGCCTGGCATCACTTTCCTGACCGAGGCCTCGATTCCTGTGTTCTGCCACTGCTGAGTCTGAGCTTAGGAGACCCTAGGCTACAAACTCAGGCTTTTATGCTGGTCAGATGTGCTGCAAGACAAGTTGGATTTCTCTGCCTACTGCTTGACTCTGACATTTGGTGCCTGCGGGAACATATCTGTTACAGATCCTTCTTTGTTTTGAATCGGGCTGGAACTCCTCTGGGGCTGAGGTGAAGTCTAAAAAAGCTCTGTAATAAAGCAGGCATTCCAAGTGATCAACTATGTCATATGATTTCTTAATTAGCAGCATTTTTTTTCCTGGATGGTACACAAATGAATGTATTTTTCCTGATGGCTTTAGTTTGAAGAAATGTATAAAGTTAATGTAAGTTTAGCAGAAAAAGGGCTAGATTTGAATTAGTGTTCTGGCTCTTGCAGTTTGCCTATTGCATGACATCATTCTGGGCCTCAGTCTGTCCATTTATAAAACGAAAGCTGGAGCGTAAGATCTCCAAGGCCCTTGTAGCTCTGAATTAATTGGATTATAAGTGTGCTGGAATGAATTAATTGAAGGATGAGGACTCTGCTTTAAAAACAGGAGAAATGATTCTTTCTGACACAGAGGGTGTGACAAGAGGTATCTGAGCTGAGTTTCCAGGAAGAGAATGAAAGAGAAGGTATTTTAAGCTGAAGAAATAATGCTGGTGAGGTCACAGAGTACCTTTGAAACCATTCATAACATTTAAGACTGTGGATACTATTAAGTCATCATGCCAGGTGGAGGTGATCCTCAGTACAAGTAACACAGTCTGTTGAAAGTAACATGACCCTTCCTGACTTTCTAAAGATTCTTCTTCATCAGGTTCTCTGTCTTTGGTTTTTGAGAATATAATGATGGTTCCTCATTAGTTGGACTAATTAGATGGTGATACTATAAGGATAAAGTGAGCTCTCAAAATGCTGACTGCGGTCATCATTTATCTGAGTATTAAGTGCAGGGTGAATAGCACTTACATTCCCACTTACATTGTAGGTAAACTAGGTTTATCTGAGGTATGGTTTAAATAAAATATTTCTGTTATGTAGTTGTAGTGTTTGAGGCACTAATCTTTGTTTTGTGTTGAAAACACTGCATATATGAATCACTTTGGATAGATGGTCTTTGAATTGGGACTTTCTGAAGATGCAGGAGCTGTTTTACTAAATAAGTGACACCATGTAAAGCCGAAAAAAGCTTGTGTATATGTAATCAGCACTGTAGGAAGGAATTGCAAAGGTGAAGTCGTCAATCAACAGGATAGGTTGTGCTTTTTTCCCCCTTTGGTTTATGTCCCAGAAAAGCCTTAAAATAAAAATTGGGCGTCAGAAATGACATAGACTCAAGGGATTTCTGAGTCTGACGTTAACATTTGTGAGAATGCTGGGGATTCCAGAGCTGTGTATCGGAATCTCAGTTCTACTCTGCCACCTTGTGTTCTCTTGGGAAAGTTATTTTTGATTTCCCTAGACTGTTTATTGCATATGTAAAATGATCCTCACCTTTAGTTTATTGCATAAGAAAATTAGTTAACAAATGAATAAAACTTAAAATATGAGATCCGGATACATTTTTGGAATTATTAGGCAGTTTTTATTCCTGAAAGGTATATCCTAGATTTTATAAGTGGTAGGTAGGTAAGCAGGCAAAATTATTCAGTAAATTTAGCCACAATCTCCTTTTGTCCTAAAGACAATTTGGGTTTTGCTTTCTTTAATGCATCATTGACTTTTGGTGTTTTTCTTCCTTGTTACAGGTGGTTCGTACTGAGAAAAACAGCTTGAACAATCGATTCCTGCCCTGGAATGAAATTGAGACAGAGGCTATCCTGTCCATTGATGATGACGCTCATCTCCGCCATGATGAAATCATGTTTGGGTTTCGGTGAGGGATTTTCTTTTTTTTGAGTCAGAGCCTCACTGTCACCCAGACTGGAGTGCAGTGGCATGCTCACGGCCACTGCAGCCTTGACCTGCTGGGCCAGGCGATCCTTCTGCCTCAACCTTCCAAGTAGCTGGAACTATAGGTGCGTGCCACCATGCCCAGCTAAGTTTTTGATTTATTGTAAAGATGAGGTCTTATCAAGTTGCTCAGTCTGGTCTCAAACCCCTGGACTCAGGCAATACTTGTGCCTCGGCCTCCCAAATTCCTGGGGTTACAAGCTTGAGCCACCATGCCCAGCCAGGGATTTTCACTTTAGTTTGTGAGGGACAGGAAACCAACTCAAACCTGGAGTAGGCAACAAGATGAATTTCTTGGCTGAAGGTAACTGACAAACCCTTAGAGGTCGCAAGGGCAGATGCAGGATGTGGCTGGATCCAGAGTCTTTTCAGATGATTCCATCTCTCTTCACCTGTAGGTTCTGCTCAGCTGTCAGACAGGCTGTTCTTCTGAGGCCAGGGAGGTGGAGTTCTGTGCTTGGTTGCCTGCCGGCTCTTGGTGCTGCAAGTACATCATCCTTAAACCCAAACCATGTGGGCTGAGTTGTAGGCAAGGGGTAGTTCTAGAGGGAAACTGAGGGTTTTGTTGACAGAGGAATTAGCCTCCAGGCAGCCAGAAGCAACATGTTGCTCCATGTTAGAGTCAGAGTCCTGGGCCCAAAGATTCTGGGGAAAGAAGGGGTTGGAAACAGAGGTTCAAAATGAAAAGGAACGGGAGAGGAGGTGGTTTTGGTGGTGGTGATGCTTACCATTTGTTGAACCTACACGATGTGCCCGGGACTAACTGAACACTTTGGTTTATCTCATTGATCTTCCTAAAACTTGGTGGCATACATTGTGGTTGTGTCCATTTTACTTTCTTTTTTTTTGAGTTGGAGTCTCACTCTTGTCACCCAGACTGGAGTGTAG